ATGAAAAGTTCAAATCTCAAATACAAGCAAAAAAAAAAAAAAAGAAGAAGAAAAAAAGTGTCTTTTGAATGTCTTTTTCATTACAGTTATTGCACTCAATACAAGGTGTCCTTTTCCATGAATTACAGCATAAATGCAGCATGGCATGGAGGCCGTCACCCAGTGGCTCTGCTGAGGGGCTCAGGAAGGTCTGATTGGTTTTCAGCTCATCTGAAAGGACCCTTTCATTCTCCTCTTGACAAACAATCTGATTCTTTTGGGTTCAGGTCAAGTAGTCCTAAAGCTCTGTGATGCCAATATCAGTAGAGCAGGTAGTGGTACTATCACCATTGTTGGCAGGTACCAAGTCGTGCTGGAAAATATAATCAGCAGGAAGTGCTCCAAAATCTGCTGCTAGGAAGCTTTACCGACTATGGATTTAATAAAACTGTAGACCAAAAGAGGGATAAAACATTACACCCCAAACCATCAGTGACTGTAAGCGGTTCATTCTGGAGCTAAAACAACACAAGTTTGTCTGGTCTCTACTCTTTTTAAACTCATTGATTTCATAAATATGTGTAAAATGGACTTTCATTTAAATTAAATAGAACTTCAGAGCACTGAGCAACAGCCAGGTCTTATTCATTCTTAGCTAAAGAAAATCCCAATGTTGGCTGTAATTCAGGAGTGGCTTAAAACAAACAATGCAACAGTTGCAGTCTGTGTCTTGTTCTTGAAACCACCGACTCCAGCTGCAGTTTAAAGGAGAGTGAAGCAATACAGTATGTCACAAGGTGGTGGTCCTATCACTTATATCCCAATGCTTTCATCTGAACCTCACTAGAGTGTTGCCTGTTTCTGATTTAGAGAGACTGTTAGTAACTATAAACATCTTTATTTCCAATGATTGTATACAGCAAAACATAAAATATGTATATTTTTAGTTGGTTTATTGACCTCTTAACATTTTAGTAAAGCCAAATGTAACTTTTTAGTAGCTAAAACTGAAATACACCCTTAAATTTACTTTTTTAGTGGAACCAACAAAATAAATATAACATTTAACTAAAAGAGCAAGTTATTGATTTTCACCAGAAAGCTATAAGATGTCTGTAATGTTCTACGGTGCCCCTCATCCATTGATGCTCTCTCATACCTTCCAGTGTCACCTCCTTCCCTGCTCGTTTCAGTGCCTGCACAGCCTCATCGTGCGTCGCGTCCCGCAGGTTCATGTTGTTCACCGAGAGGATGGCGTCCCCCACATACAGAGCTTGAGTCTGATCAGCTGCAAGCCCCTTAAATATCTTGCTGATGAGTATGGGCATTTTGTTCTCCTTCCCTCCTTTAATGCTTATCCCGAGTCCCCCGATATCCTGCTTGGTCACCTTGACGCACCGCTTTTTGTTCGCAATCGCCTCCGGGACTCGCTCCGGGAGGTCCGTGAAGGCGGTGCGCACTGCTTGGGGACCGTTGTTGGAGTTAGTGTTGCTGTTGTCCAGGTAAGACCCATTGGTGACCCCGTTGGAGCTGATGCCGTCGTTGACGCCGCAGTCCTCGCAGCTCAACGTGAGCGCCTCCTCGTTTAAGTTGGCAAAAACTTTGTGCCAGCTCTCCCGCACCAAAACCTCCAAAAATCCACTTTTAAGCGCTCCGGAGCCACTCGAGACTCCGGCTCCCGCTGCTACCACCGCCATCTTTGGAGCATTTCTATTAAAGAAAAGAAAAAAAAGATTCACATGTGATTAAGTTCCCAGCGCGCCCTCGCACGCTTACTCACAGAAAGTCTAGCCCTAGGCTGGACTTTGGTCCCTATTAAGTTCTCGGCGGGACTTATCACGCACGCATGACGCGCAGCCAACTAGTATGCGCGCGAGCTGAACCTCCGCTCCGCCCGCTTGCCCAAAGATCCTGGAGCTGTGGGGTGGAGTTCCACCCGCGATCCGTCTTTTACGCATCTTTAAACACAAGCTGAACGATGTTTAACATTTGAAGAAAAAAAAAAAAAAAAAACAATAAATGATTGTCAACATCACACTGGAAAAGTTTTCCCATAATCAGTCATCATCATAACACAGGAAAGTGGACTAATGAAGTCAAACATAATAAAATAGTCTGAATGCGTCAATTGTGCGCGTAAATTAGACTCATGGAACTCTACCTAAACAAAAATATAATATTTTTTACATTTAAAACTATTTTTGAAATGTTATTATTATTTATTGTATTCATTTTTTTGCTTCTATGGTGCGTTTTTAATTATCAACTAGTTAGATATTCCACCCGAATTCAGTGCAACATAGGCGAAAAGTGCAAAAGTGTGCGCTTTTAATAAAACCAAACAAAAATCGCAGTTTATATTTAGTCTAGCAATTGAAATGCTTTAGGGAAGATATTATCTCATTCATTGAAAATTACACATTTTCATCAGGAATTACTGCATTTAGGTGGAGGTGAGTCTGGATGCAACCAACGCTGCTGTTTTGAGATCCTATTTGCAACCCAAAGAGAAAAATTATGCAGACCATTACAGTCTGATCACCTTTACAGAGGAAAACGAAGATGATTGCTATTTACTTGCAATGCAAGTTTGGATGCAACTCATATAAATGCTTTGAATGTTGGGGATCCAGCTTTACTCCATCTGCAACTATCTCTGAGAAGGATTTTGAAGTTGTTATCCAAAAAGTTTGTATGGGCACACAAATATAAAAATAACGCGAGAGTGACACCTACTGGTGCGTTGAGAAAGAGAAACAGGTAGTTAATATTTCTCTGCTTGAAAGGGGTTCACATAGAATTCATATGTAAATTACAACTTCCTATCAAAGGAAAGCATTTGGATTGTATTACTCTGTGATCTAGATTTGTTTATTATAGCTGAACTGTATAAAAGTTTAGATTAATTAGTTTTAAAGAAAAAAATGTTACAAGGGGTTTTGGTTTAATGAGGTATACGAGGTACAAACATTTTTTCTGTTACTTTTATGTGAAAATTAGTTATCAAAAAAATATAGTGCGTTCTTTGTTACTTACCTACAAAATAAATTAATAAAGTGGAGTCCTATAAAAGGTGTATGCAATTAAAAGTTTTTAAAGAAAGTTGCTGCTTTAATCCTCAGCGAGCCTTTCTTTCAGAGCTCACTGTTTGTTTTGATAGCTGCAGGAAGCAGGTGCAGAGAGGTGTGGCTGTAGAAAAACACATGGAGGCAGGATTTCTGGTTGGAAAACTGGCCTGATGGGAAGATTAAAAAAAGTGAGGAGCACATCTGAATAAAATTTAGACATATGTGAGAAGATCAACTTAAAGTTTATTCTTTTGTGCTATATTCCATTTCTAGTTCTGAATAATTATAAGATATTTTGCTTTAACTTCTTCTGTTCTGTCATATCAACATATTATTTCCCCCTCTTCCTCTCTTTATGTCTTTTATCATTAACCCTATGTGATTCTTTCAATCCTTTTTCCTTTTACCTTTAGATGCTCTTCTACTCATCTTGGCCCTTCATAGTTTTAGAAAGGGCTTATGTTTTTAAATAATTAAAACAAGAAGTGAGATCTGTCCTACATGTGTATTTCTGGGGATTGTTCAGGTTGTACTTACTAAAACAAAAATGGTCAAACATAAGTTCTGCGGCTTTAAAAAAAAATAAATAAATAAATAAAACTCCATACCATTAACACTGCACCACAATGAAGCAATGAACACATTTGCTTTTATTTACTAGAAACAAACTGTGCATCTGAATCAGTAAGAAAGGGTTTTAGTGACAGATGGGAAGTTTGATTATTTCCTAAATAAGATTTCTGACCCAATATTAAAGTATAGAAAAAGATGAGACAGATAGGATAAAAAATTGGAGGAGTCAGGACACGTTTTTTGTCTTTTTATTTATTAAATCCACAAAGAACCCTCACCATTCCGGAGAATCTTTGCAAACCCGACCTTTTGATGTTTCTTTATAGTTCTGTGGTTAATTAGTTACATTTTTATTGCTGAAATATAGCTAATATTTGCTGGTCCTGTTAACATTGATTATTTTCTCTGTCTAGCACTTAAACGGCTGTTTAAATATGCTGTACATATGCTATCAACTTGAAAATGTGTACAAGAAAGGGTGAATGTCTGAATATTAAGTCAAGTGCTTTTGAGTCCTTGGACTTGATTAAGTGCTATACAAATACAGGTAATTTACTAGTGTTGCACTGATACAGATTTTTCCAAGCCGATCTAATACTGATAGCCGAACTTAGCATATAAGCCGATACCAATCTAATACTTTTGTTGAATGAAGGAAACTATACCTAGAATGAAGGCACCAGGCATGACATAATTAAATATACTCGAAACTCCATGCAGAAAGACCTCGGGCCGGGAATCGAACCCACAGCCTTCCTTGCTGCAAGGCAGCACTGTGCCACAGACGACAGACAAACAGACAAACCTAACTGACTTAGTTTTGAATGGTTTTTGCTCTGATTAACATTTTCTTGTTTTCTGTTTTGGTTAAAAGTGTAACTCTCTGTGGCAGAATGCAAACCTTGTCATGGAAATCATCCCCCAAAGCAGAGCACATTTAAAAGATGGAACTTTTTAGCAATCTAGGAGGTTCTGTATATTATCAAGCCCATGGGCTGAATGGAATCTGAAGTGTTTTATGATACTGAAGATAGAAGACGAAAAATATGTTTTCTTTTTCTGAAACTGTGCTTAGCATTTGCTTGCACATTAAAGGCAATTTCACACAAAATAATTGTACAGAATAAAAGCATTTCACACTCAATTTGGACATAGAATTCAGCACTGACTTTAGACTTCCTATCTCTAAGAATAAAAACTCTGAATATGACAAAGTTGGTTTTAATTGTAGTATAAGAAAAAAAAACACACCCTACAGTTGCAATAAGATGTTGCAGATCCAGCTCTAATGATTATTATCCTCCTCTAAATCCAGGTTATTTTTGCCTCGACATTTTGCACCTGGTAATGATTTCTTATTACATAACATCCGTGGAACATGTGGCAACATGGGAGGAGCTTATCTTTATCATTTACAAAGAAATCAAACTAAAATGTTTCCAACCTACTCCTCACTGATGAACCCCAGTTTGTCCAAATTTAAATGGGAAGAAGATTGTATTAGCCTTAAAGTATTCTGCTTTGTTTGTTTTACATTTATTCAAAGCTAGTGTTTCCTGGATACATCACCTTTGACAACAACAAAGCTGTAATCAACACCTTACGAAGCTCCTGGAGAAAGTGCCCGAGGTGATCGAAAACAAAAGGAAGCATGTCAAGGTGAGGGCATTGCCAGTAAATCAGAGTGAAACCTATCAGCTGTAGAGAACTGAAAGTCAATATACTTTAGCTTCTTAATTTATGAGGGTTGCTGTTGGTTGTTGTTGTTTTTCGTCAAGAAAACAACTGAAACTTATTGCTACTTCCTTGAACAGCATAACTTGGTTTGAAAAAAACAAACTGTAGTATGATGTTCCTACTTTGTTTCCTTCGTGATATATACCTTCTAGTCAGTAGATGGCAGCAAGAGGTCAGTTTAATTAATGCAGTTATAAGAACAATAATGTAGCTTTTAACTATGTAATTTACTTTAGACACACAAAAAAATAAGCAATACATGCCCTGTGTTTTTTTTTGTTTTTTTTCCCCATTGTAGCTTAACCAGAATATGAATGTCTTTACCCTACTAATGCATTAGGCTTAGGGTAAGGGTCTTGGTTAGGCCAGACAAAAAAGGATAGAAATAAATGGAAGGACCTTGCAAAGACAGTGTGATGTATTACGTGTATATTTTTGTGTGTATGTGTGTTTTCATGTTTTTATGTCTTTGTACCCTGCATTTCACCCATAGATTGCAGGTAGGAACACGCCCTCCTGAGACTCTAAAGACAAGCAGTAGAAGATGGATGGATTTATTAAACAGGGTTTTGTGAGATGACTGAATCAGAAGATGATTTTTTTCTAACCCAACCAACCTTCACAGTTATCAACTACTCACCCAAACTTGTCTTCTCCTGTTCCTCCTGTGCCCCCCCGGCTGCAGAGGCAGCAGTATCAGCAGAGTATCCAAGTCTTCCCTCTCCGCACACAGACTACTCCTCCAGCTCTGCTGGGGGAAGCCCAAGGCACTTCCAGGCCAGCCAAGAGACATAGTCCCTCCAGTGTGTCTTGAATCGCCCCCTCGGCCTCCTGCCGGTGGGATGTGCCTGGAACACCATTATCGGCTCATCCAGGGGGCATCTGAAATGTCCGAGCCACCTCAGCTGACTCCTCTCTATGTGGAGAAGCAGCTCTCCTCCAAGCCTCTCCCGAAGACCGAGCTTCTCACTTTCTAAGGGATACTCCAGTCATCCTGCCGAGAAGGCTCGATTCACCACTTGTACCTGGGATCTCATTGTTCGATTTGATGTTATGATCGCTTCACCCTCTGCTGCAGTCTGCCTCAGGGCATGCTGTGGAGGAGCGAGCCAGCAAGATCTGCTGGACTGTGAACCAGACCCCATCAGGTCTTTGGCTGCATCTTGAAATCCTGTCCATAAAGGATATGAACAGGTCCGATTTAAAGTCAGCAATGCAGATCAGACTCCTGCTCCGCTTGTACAGAGACCTGATGGACCCTAGTAAAGGGTCCCTGACTCCATATTTTCGAAGCGTCGCCCACAGGGCATCATAAGGGACCTGGTCAACTGTCTTCTCCATCTCCAAGAAACACATGTGGACTGGTTGTGCAAACTCCCATGACCCCTCAAGCACCCTGCAGACACTAAGTCAACTAATTTAACAACAACGCTTGGGTTTAGAGCTGGGGGGTCTGTTCCTCCTGATTGTTTCCCACATGGGCATTGAATCCCCCCGTGACGCCAAGAAGGTTCAGCCTGTTCTGCTAAATAAATTGGTTTCTATTATGCTATTTATTAATTAAGTTTTTTTTTTTTTTTTTTTTTACAAATTTGAGGCCTCACACCATAGCTGCAGTTTTACCAAGAATAAATGATAAACTGTTGGACCATATTTCATTTGTTCTTTAGGGGATATAAGGGTAAATGTGGCTACACACAGTTTTACAAGTTTTTATCAGTAAAACAGTTACAGTGTTCTAAACTGTAAACATCTTTCCTTCAGATATGGCCACATCCAGTGATTTTTTGTCTGAGGACCAGTTCCAGTGCTCCATTTGTTTGGACGTCTTCACTGAGCCTGTTTCAACTCCATGTGGACATACATTCTGCAAGGTATGCCTGACCAGGCACTGGACAGGGAAGCAGGAATATCAGTGTCCTCTGTGCAACAGCAAATTCAACAAGGACCTCAAGCTATCGGTCAACACCACATTCAGGGAGGTTTTGGAAGGTTTTAAGAAACGTGTGACAGCTGATGCCTCATCTTTAGTAAAACCTTGGGAGGTGTCATGTGACATTTGCTCTGAGAACAAGTTCCGAGCCTCAAAAACCTGCTTGATGTGCTTAACCTCTTTTTGTGACAAACATTTAGAGCCTCATCTAAGAGTAGCTGCCTTGCAAAGACACAAACTTTCAGAACCTGTTCCTGACCTGGAGGAGAAAATATGCAGGGAACACAACCAGATTTTTGAGTTCTTCTGCTTGAATGATCACATCCATTTCTGTGTCTTGTGCACAGATCATATTGATCATGACAAAGTCAATATAAATGAAGCATATGTAGATCAAAGATCTTACATCTGGAGAGGAAAAGAGAAAATACAAGGATCTAAAAACAAAAAAAATGGAAAGGTACAGAATAAGAAAAAAGCCAAAAGTGGGAGAGCTCAGAGTATGAAGCCTAGTCAGATTATAGATCCTAATGGTTTACCATATCACAGAAAAGCCCCAAACCACTTGGATAGATGTAAAAGTAACTGTCAAAATCAAAATTTCTCAAAAGTGACAGAAGTGCATGAATTTCACGTCAGTGGAAATGTTGGTCTTGATTTAGCTGTTTTTAGGGAGTCCGATTTTAGAATGTTGCCATTTCTACAAAACTGGGAAAGATATTGTATTTTAAGATTTACATTTAAGAGGAACACTCAGAGAGTACTGTTGCTTGTATATTATGGTCATGGGCTGGTGCTCATATTTGATCCAGACAATGAGATCATATTGCATCAATTTACCGGCAGTGGAATCAATGAGCAAGTCTTCCCACTTTGTATTCCCAGCATACGTGGCTTCATGAAATGGAGGCAAAGCTTAAGAAGTCAAGTTAAGAAGATGTTAAGTGATTTAAATGTTTTATACTGGTTTGGTTGCTTTTTTATTATAACACTGTTATCCATTTACATTATCTTCTAATAGGGCCAGATTAAAACACATCCAAGCTATGCTTGCTTTCTCACATTATATTATTTAGCTTAGATCAGGTTTATTCAACGTTTTCCAGGCCAAGGACCCCCAAACTGATGGCAAGATGGAGCGGGAAGCCCATAATTATAAGTATTGTATAAAATTGTGTTATATCAAACTGGTCCTATAGTCACCCTATTACAGATGGACTAATGTAACAAAAGTTTTTTCACCCTGGGAATATTAAAGTATTTCTGATTCTGATTCCTAGTTGATGGGACAGGTGTTGTGAATGAAACAGTGCCCAGCTAGAAAGAGCTCCTGTGTGTCGCTGAATGTGTGCATTGATGACTGAAAGACATCTCCATTTATCTGTTTACTACAGTGTGTTGAATTCATGTTAATGTGTATTTAAAGACATTTCAATTAGTGGAAAAAATTGCAGGGGGGAATATAAAAAGAAAGGTTTAGGTTACAGCTATCCTATACCTGTTTGACCTCTTCTCTCTAGTTAATTTGTAATTAATGTTGAAGACTATTTCGAAATATAAGTCATGTTTTTAGAATTTTAAACAGTGTTATAGTGTTAATTAATATTTCCAAAAAGAGAGAAAAACTTTTCAAGATTAGATATTTTATGCGTCAAATCTTGATATTCTTTCTCTGACTTTTTGAAGAACTAAAAACATAATCTAGAGTCTATGTTTCTGTTCTTACTATTAAACTTATTGGAACAACAATGACACATTGTTTTTTTTTTTATCTTCTCAATTCCACTCTTTTGTCAGATATTTGACTTAATTTTTCTCAGAAAAACAGATCTGCATTGATGAATTAAAGAGATCTTCTGCCTCCATTTATCTCTTTACTACAATTTTTTGAATTCATGTCATTGTGTTTTTAAAGACATTTTAATTAATGGAAAAAACTGCAGGGGGGAATATAAAAAAAAAAAAAGTAAAATAAACCAAAACTTTCGCAACCCCCATGTTGGATTTATGTTATTTTAATTTGGTTCATTTATGCTTCTTTTCATTTTTGAATGCTTTTTACATTTCAAATTGTATGTACTAAATGTATCATTCATGTGACTAAAAATAAAATACCAATCTTTTTTTATGGAATTAAAAGTGTTTATCATGTAATTTAGATCCTATTCAATAAATTTGAATATCTGTTTTGATGAGGCTTGTTTGTCCAAGTAAAAGTACCTTTTTAAGAAAACTTTTTTTAAGCAGACATAAAAATAAATGTTTTAATGGCCTGCAATTATATTTTTATAAATGTTTTATTCTTAAAAGGCAATTTTTTTATTTTTTATTTCTTCCTTTTGTGTTTTCTTTACTCTTAATGTCTTTCCTTATTTTTTAGTTCATCCTCCTCTTTTCTTTATCAGTCTCCTCCCCAAAAAACATACAGTATTTGTCCTGGTAGTGCTTAATTAGTCCCTGTTAAGCTCTGAAATAGTTTGTTCAGACATAAACATTTTTTGGTGTCATCTATTCTTCACATTGGAAATGTAATGGTACCGTATTACACACGGTATAAGCTTTTTCTTCAATATAACTAACCCTATCTGATTAGCAACAATCATAGTGTATCCTGGGGGTAACTCATGTTTTATCCCTCACAATAATTTTCCCTTTTTCCCTCCTGATCTTGAACCATTTATAATCTTTTCATATACTGGGGTGGGCACTGCTGATTCATTTGTCTTCATTGCTTCACCAATATATATAATATATGTGTTTACTCATTGAAATATACACGATGTCATGCAACTTGTTAAACAAATAAATAAAATACCTTATGTCACCAGTGTGAATAGAAAATCAATCAGAGTGTGGTTCTACTGTAGATGGTTGCAAGAACATACGTGACTAGTCCTCTTTAATGTAAGTTTTTCTGTTTTCTTATTTAGCATGACCCTAGTCACACTTCGCTCCTGTTTCTAATGTAGACCATTCCCAAATACTCCAAACAGGACATATGCAATTTGAAGAGAGGTTTGGAAAACTGGATTGCTAGAATGACTGAAAAACATAGGAGCGTATTAATAAGACTGAGCCATACATGTATTCATGAAAAGTTATTAAATAATTTGAAATTCCTTTATGTTTATGATACCCCTGTATTCGCATTATTCGCCTTGTCCCTCATTACTTTTCTTTCAGAGAGTATTTTCTCATTAGCCCTCAGCTCTCTGTCAGTTTATAATTCTTTCATATTCTTTCTTCTTTTAGTCTTTACCATGTCTTCTCTTCATCATACTTCTTTTTTAATACTCTGTAATTATCTGGAAATTGTGGTCGGAAAAATTTATTTTACTATCACATCCCTTCTCTTGTTAATTATGAGTGCCGATCTTAAATAGTTACTCCTATCAGTAAAGCTAAAAGCGGATCTTATCATGAATATGACCTATCTGTAGAGGCCTCACTATATCTAACATAGAGAGGAGTGTTTTCTGAAGTTTCACCTGAACATTAGAATGCGGAATAAGGAAGATTTCACTTTGAAAGCCCAAGATGTTTGAAATCAGATGAGCTGTTCTGAGTCATTTAAAAAAAATGAAGACCTGCTGGGAATGTAAAATACAACCATTTCCCTAGTTTAAGATAGTCATCCGAAAAAGAGAAAACATTCCGTAAGTGTCAGTTATGTATGAAAAGGGCCTTACCTCAGAGATCAGAAAGGAAGGCAAAGACTGGTTGGACATGATGGCAAGGAAACGATACCTTAAATAGCTGCTTCCTGTGACCAAAGTATGCAGAGCAACACCTCAATCTTTGAAGTAAAATATTATTCTGACTGTGACTGGTTGGATGTGCTCTCTTCATCCTCTGACATGGGAGCTGGCTCTGAGCTCGTCTGCCTGACTGTGTTATTCCTGGATGGGGCCGCCTGTGGAGCTGGTTTACAGTTGCCTTTTGTATCTCTGCTTCTTTCTCTATGCCTGCTTCTGTCTCCTTGAATACCAGTCGGCCTCGGCAGATGACCGCTCACAATGAGTCTGGTTCTGCTGGCAATGTGTTCCTGTTAAAAGGAAGTTTTTCCTCTCCACTGGTGCTACAAACATGCTTGGTGTGAGGGATTGCCTTCCAGTCAATGAGTCGATGCAATTAACTGGTTTTCCTTAGACAGAAAACTTTCAACCAATAAAATTGGACTGTGTGACCTGGTGAACTGTAAAGTGTCTTGAGATGACGTATTGTGATTGGCGAAATACAAATAAACTGAATTGTATTGAATTATGAAATCAAATGCTGCTGTACAGTAACTACATTAACACAAATAATTTTTAGACGACCAAGGAATAACTTCTCAACTTCCAAATACAGGAATTTATTATCAAAACCTTTTCAACTCCATGTTAAACATGTTTCAATCAAAAGCAGTAACCACAGGCTACTAAAGGCTACTGCTCACATGATGATTCCCCATTTCCCATAGCTTATTCATTTCAAATGGAGTTCTTTAACACAACAATGAAAATACTTGTAATGTTCTCAACAATCCCCAGCTCTACAAGATATTTAGGGTTGGGTGGAAAGAAGGATTTATTTCATGGATTGCTAGCCAATAAAAATGCTGTTAGTTGTTAGTGTAGACCAAAAATAATTAAATTTGACAATTAAACAATTTCTGGACCAAATAAATTACTTTGTCTTTTCTTTTCACCAGCTATATTCCAGACTAAGTTATAATGATGTATCCGTAGCACAGTTTGATGCACTGCAGGACTTCAGAATTAAAAAAAAAAACTAAGAAAAAAACTGATTTTCTATCAATCCCATGATTAATTTGGTTTCATAACACATCACTTTATGGTAGTTGTTAATTAATTTACCAGTGGTTTTATATTGTGCGCACCACAAGGGTTTGGCCTATAAACAAGGCAATAAATTTAGAAGAGAATTAAGTTCCTCTTTGATGCCACCTTCAATTTTGACCTAAGAGCCATTTAGCATTGAACCTTCACTATGATAGTCGATTTTAAGTGTTTAACATTTCTTGTTTTTTATTAATTTGAATTCATCATCAAGCAGTTGCAGGTTGCAGATAGAATGGTACAAGACAGTGTGGAAATTCATAAAGCAGGTCTTGTATAAACAAAGCATTGCTTTGTGTTTTATATTGAATTAGTTTGAATTAGTATCCATCCAGCCATCCATTTCTGACACAATTAATCCCAAGTGGGGTCACAAGGGGTGCTGGTGCCCATCTCCAGCTATCTATGGGCGAGAGGCGGGGTACACCCTGGACAGATTGCAGGTCCATTGCAGGGCAACACAGAGACAAACAAGCATTCACACACACAATCACACCTAAGGAGAATTTAGAGAAGCCAATTAACCTAACAGTCATGTTTTTTGGACTGTGGGAGGAGGCCGGTGTACCCGGAGAGAATCCACGCATGCCCTGGGAGAACATACAAACTCCATGCAGAAAGACCCCAGACCGGGAATCGAACCCAGAACTTTCTTGCTACAAGGCAGCAGTGCTAGCAGTCCTCGAATCTGTAAAAATAGTAAAAAATTAAGCTGATCAGTGAGAGGAACAAGTGAGCTTTTAAGGTGAAATTCAAAGTTCAACAGTTGGGTCATTAGTTACTTTGCGTTGAATCCCTTTTTATTTCATGCTATTTCAAGTTTTGAATGTGTTACTGAATAATATTTAAAACATGTAAAACATGCTACAGGCAACATGGGAGGAGCACATCTAGATTATTTACAGAGAAAAGAAACTAAGAGGTAAAAAAAACATTCCTACCATTGATAAACACCAGTCAGTTTGTATTGAATGCAGAGGGGCTCAACATCACACCTGGAAAAGGTTAAGTTTAACTTTCTTTCTATTTTGCTTTATTTGGTTATTAATCATAATATAGTTTAGTTCTTTTTTAGAGCAGTATCTAGCTAAATGTACTAAAATGGTCAAATTATTAGATTTAGGTAGATTCTCATATTTTAGCAGGCATAAACATGTATAAGTGTCTGTTTGGTTTTTACTCAACCAGACTGGCTACAAATGCATTCTGATGCTACAGTTTCAAATTTTTGTGATTTTTCCTTTTTTAAAGCATAAGTTAGAGGTGCTTTATCATATGGGTTTCTAATTACTTACTTTATTTACTTTACATTTAACCCTCATTTACTCAGGCAGAATAATTTACTCTAAATTTTTTTACGTCCATCATCCACCAGGACCTTCCTGTTAGTCGATACCAAAATAAGTTTATGCATTTTTCATTGAGGAAGGCCTTATAAAGTACGAGATTGTATTGTTTGGAAAACAGAAAAGCAGTGGTTAGAAGTACTCTGTAGTAAAAATGGTACAAATTTGGCCCCAAGGCTGAGATAATTGATGCTGATAAACATTTTTTTCTGGGTGAAAAATCTGACTGATGTAAGTTATTCTATACTTGAAATGATGAGTATAACATAAACTTTTATTTGTTTCTGAACCCCACTTTTTGATTTTACTTTATTTCCCTATAGTTTGTTATTCCCTTTACATTGTGCGTTCAACATTTTTGTTTTCATCAGCACTTCCTGTCTTAGCTTAATTTACTGAATAGGGGCAAGAACTATTCAGGGATTCATTTCAAAGAAGACTTGGGCACATCAGTTCATGAAACTTGGCTAAATAAAGCAAGTGTGTTTAAAAAAAAATGGACCCTTACTGTATCTCATTCTTGATTAGTTTTTATTAGAACAGATAACCTTTTTAACTTTTACTTTTTGCCCATGAGGCAAAAGGTTTAGTCACAGTTGAAACACAAAGAAGCATATTCTTGAAGAATTGTGATGGAGCGAAAAACCACTGATAATGTTAGGAAGAGTGATTTATCAAAAAGAATAACTTACAGAACTGCAGAATATAGACAGTATACACAAAGAACCGCAGAAGCAATGGCACAAATCAAAGACCCATAGAAACCAGATAACACAAAATAACTCATCAACATGAAGACGAGTTGTAAAATAGAGTAGAAACTTATCAGCAGATAATAACTAAGGGCCACAACAAAAGGGATATTATGACAGTTTCACCACTGTAAAACCAGTTTTCACACCATGAACAGCTGGTCTAAAGGGGTGTGTCTTTTCTATGAACATGCACGTCAAGAACGTTGCATCTAAAGGCATGCCAGTGATTCTTACTTGGATCTTAGTCTTTTGGTGCCATTTTAGCTTAGCACTATGCTTTAATTTGAGCAAATTCAACCATAGTTCGGATGGTATGTTTAGGGTCTTTATTCTAGCGGAAAGTGGATCTCCACCACACTCTAAAGGTTTTTGAATCCTCTAAGAGGTTTTCTTCCAGGATTGCCCTGTTTTTAATATGTTTCATCTTCTTATAAACCACTTTTCTTTCTCTACCAAATCCCACCTTTCTACAGCATCATGCCGCCTCTGTGTTTCACAGTTTGCCCAGTTGTTCAAAAAAACCGAGAACACAGTAAGGCATAGAACACAAATGAACAGATTTCTACAATGTTTTCAGATTTATTGTCTTCATCTAAAATAGAAAACATGTCTTGGTAGGTTAGCAGCTGCACCATGTTCCTCTGCATCAGTGCTATGAGAGGTATTCAAAGCTTTAGGTAATAGTTTAGAAACTAACTCAGCATAACTTATTTACTCACCTTTGGTTTATGTTCCTTGGTTTTCCATATTCACTAATTTTGCAGAAAAAAAAAAACACAAAAAACCCCCCACAGATGCCTTTAATAGTTGGTATTACAATAATCTTTGACACTGCAAAAGCAAACTTTTTTAAAACTGTTTTTCAGAGAGCAGGTGATGGCACTGGAAAAGCATGACACATTTTTCTGATTTTGATTTCTAAAACAAAATCAATTAGCATAATTATTTTATGTTCACTTCACAATTTTGTGCAGGTCTATAAAATACAATATATATGACATGGATTACAATTTTTCATATTAAAATGACACAATGTCTAAAACATCTGTCCTTTAGATATGGCCACATCCAGTGGTTTTCTTTCTGAGGATCAGTTCCTGTGCTCCATCTGTCTGGACGTCTTCAATGAGCCTGTTTCTACTCCATGTGGACATACCTTCTGCAAGGCATGTCTGAACAGGCACTGGGAAGGAAAGCAGGGACGTCAGTGTCCTATGTGCAACAACAAATTCAACAAGGACCTCAAACTCTCCGTCAATAACTCATTCAGGGAGATTGTGGAGGCTTTTAAGAAACCTCGTGTGACAGCTGAAGCTACATCCTCAGGAAAACCTCGTGAAGTGTTATGTGACATTTGCTCAGTAAACAAGATCCGAGCCTCAAAAACTTGCTTGGTGTGTTTAAGCTCTTTTTGTGACAGACATTTAGAGCCTCATCTAAGAGTGGCTGCCTTGAAAAGACACAAACTTTCAGATCCTGACCCTGACCTGGAGGAGAAAATATGTAAGGAACACAACCAGATTTTTGAGTTCTTCTGCTTGAATGATCACGTCTCTTTCTGTGCCTTGTGCACAGAACATATTGATAATTTCAAGGTCCGTTTGAATGAAGAGTATGTAGATCAAAGATCTCACATCCAAATGAGAACCTGGAATGAACCGAAAATTAAACATGAAAACAATAGAAAATCGCAGAGTAGAAGGAATATTAAAGTTGGAAGACCAGAGAATGTGACTGCTCAGGAAACAATCAACCCACATCAGGTTAACGGATGTAACTGTATGTATCATAATCCTGGCATCCTCAGAGGGAAACATTTTTTTGAATGTGATGTCAATGGAAGAGAAGGATGTGATTTGGCAGCTGTTAGAATTTCAGCTTTGGGAACATTCCCACCAAAGTGGGATGAAAACTGCATTGTAAGGTTTAGCATTGTGAGAAGCACTAAAAGATTGACAGTGCTTTTAGATTATGATGTTGGCCTTGTTCTTATCCTTGATCCAGATAATGAGATCCTGATGCATAAATTTATAGGCAGCACATTCAATGAGCCAATCATACCATTGTTTATAACTAGCCAAAGTAAGCCTTCATACAGTGTACAGAGCTTAAAGAGGAGACTTCAGGAGATCAAGGATAATTCCTATTTCTGGGCTGTTTTGTTTGCAATACTGATACTGCTTTACAAATTCGTTTATCTGTAAAGCAGGCCAAGTTTGTGAGATTCAAATAGGAGTTTACTGGGGCTGGACAAACACAAGCTGTGTATGTAGTCTGTAATAAGATCCCTTGATTAAGTAAAATATTTAGAATACTTATATCATTTATTTTTCATTTATGTTTGTTGCAAGAAGCTATTCTATATACCCATTGAAATAAAATAAATGTTTAGGTGGTAAGGACTTACTATACTTTAGTTCTGTTAGCAAAAAAAAATGTTTTTAAAGTCTGTGCATTTTGTTAAAAGGTTATACAACTTTGCATATTTTTAATTGTTTGGGCAATGTATTAAATATGTTGATTTTATTTAGCTACTTTGAATAGTGTTTCCATGTATTTTGTGTGTCATTGCATTAGAGTGATAATTCGAGTGATAAGTAAGCCAGAGTACCTAATAAGTCAGCCGACACAACTATCCCTGAATTTTCACCAGAAGCACCAGTAGTAAAGCACACATGTATAACTCTTTATGGTGAAAAAACAAACCCAGGGGAAAAGCAAAAGTCTAAAATTGAGAAGGAACATCTGAGTGGGAGTTGTTGAATTAGAGACTGGTGACAGAATCTGAGGAACAGGCATAAATCCGTAGTTAGGACTCAAAAACAAAGTCAGGTGTGGAGAGGCAAATACAGTACAGGCAGACAATTAAGGGGGACAGTAATCAGGAGGCATAGGAAAGTCAGATGTCCAAAGATCAGAAACCAGGAGAATATCTGACGATAGCAGGGTAGAACAGGAAAATCTAGGAGACAAAAAACTTGGAACATAACAGGCGGGCAGGTTGGAAAATAACACTGGACATTTACTCAATGGCTTTCAATAATCTGGCAAGTTCTTGTCAGCAGAGAAAGGAACATATTGACCGGCTAAAAGGTATGATGAATATGTAATAAGGAGGCAGACCATGGAGGTAAACATGGGAACAATGACTCTAACTAAGTGCAGCACAAAGAGCAGAAGGCACACCTGTGTTAGGTGCAGACAAACAGAGAAAAAACATGACAAAACTCAAATATGTGCAAGTTAAGTAAATATATATAAGTATATCTTGTCTGTCAAGTTGATCAATGATGATGCATTTTGAGGTGTGCAATTGCCTGACTTTTTCAATGTTTTAAGTAATTAAAAGTAGAAATTAAATACATTGCAACACAATGTATATTGTATAATTGTACATGAAAGATCGATGTAATGTAATGTATTCATCATTAAATATAACCTATTTATCAATTTGTTTGGGCTTTTCTCTTTCCATTAAATTATTTCTTGTGAGATGCAACAAAGACTATAATGAATCAAGGGCATAAAATGCATGGAAAGACCTTAAAATTAATTTATATGTCAGAAATTTTAAGTTTTAATTATGATGTTGAAAATAATGTTTATAAACCGTCTCAATTTATTGAAATGGAAAATAGGTTTACATTAATGCTATTAATTCCTTATGCTACATTTGACTATGAAAAGATTAACATTGAGGCTCCCAGAGCACGTATTTTTATTTTATTTTTTTGCATTTGTGCAGAAAAATTCCTCTCAGATTAGACAGACAGCATTTACCAGAAACCTTTTTCTTTCAACCTCTTCTGCACAGGCTGCTTTAGCTTTCGACTCCCCCACCCTCCCGAAGGCCTACCCCTACAACCCACAACCATGACTTCCAGTGAAGTTTGTAAAGATGGCGACTATGAGTGAGGAATAAAACATAAGATAAAGGCCCAAGCTTGGCCAATGGGCTGCTACTGACTGTTCTGGGCAGCTTAGTGGAAACAACACAATAGGATAGGTTGACCAGATGAGCACTAATTGCAGTTCATCTATGTTGTTGATAACAATGTTACAAATATTTTCTGAATCAGAAATATCAATATACCGTATTTTCACGACTATAAGGCGCACTTAAACGTCTTTTTTTTCCCCTCAAAATGTGCGGTGCACCCTTTGGTGCGGTGCACCCTATGTGTGTTGTAACTGCGACTTTTGAGACCACCTCATTGAGGAGATGATGAAAGAGTGGCTGAATGTAAGGAGACCAGGTGTTTTTTTTCCACTCATCACCATCGCTGTTAATATGTAACTCCATGCGTGCCCATCTCACAGCTGATGTGAAAAACATGGGGAAACAAATTAACGCTGTGCTCGCTGTTCAACCGCTCGAAATCGGTGTGAACCGGACCCTGCAGGTGCAGCAGAAGCAGCGATTTTACATGCAAAGTCAATAGTTGACGCGCGTCTAGGTGCAGCAAAAGGTCCCGCAGCGCGTTTTGAGCAGCAGGCGCAGCGTGTCGGGAGTGTTTAAGCATCTGACGCACCGCCAACGCGCTGCTGCTGCTCGAGATGGAAAAATTGAAGTTTTGCTGCTGGACGCGCCGCATCAACCAATCAGAGAAGCTGATCTGGGAGCTGACAGCGAGACAGACACAGCGCTCTGATGACATATGATATTAACGCAAATGAAAAAGGCTGGATGGATGAGGAGATGATGAAAGCGTGGCTGAGGCAGGTGTATGTGAGCAGACCAGGTGGTTTTTTCCACGCATCACCATCGCTGCGTGCCCATCTCACAGCCGATGTGAAAAAAAAGGTGAATCAAATGAACGCTGTGCTCGCCGTTATCCCGGGGGTCTGACAAAGGAACTTCAACCGCTCGACATCGGTGTGAAGCGGCCGTTCAAAGTAAGGCTGCGAGCGGCGTGGGAGCGATGGATGACCGACGGAGACCACAATTTCAGGATAAGTGGAAGGAAGCGCTGGGCAAGTTACGCCACCGTTTGCGGATGGATTGTAGATGCTTGGACTAACGTGTCTGCTGGCACTGTTGTTCAAGCTTTCGCAAAAGCCGGCATTATTTCTGAGGAGCCGCCCCGCACGGAAAGTGACTCTGACAGCGAAGAAGGGGAAATTGACATGTCTGATTTAGCGCAGCTGTTTAATTCAGAAACAGAGGATGATGACTTTGATGGGTTTGATTAATACTTACTTATTAATATATACTTATTTATTAATACATGAATAAAGCACAATCATACTCAGTTTTGCTCCCGCTCTATTTTTCTACCTGAAAACTTAATTCAACAGCAGCCTCTGGGCCGGGTCTCCTCCGCGTATACCGCGGTGGCTGGCAGGTGTTTTTTCATCTAAATAATCTAAATCTTGCAGCTATATTTGCTGTGATCAGTGGGAATAAAGTAGTTTTAATATGTTTTTAAGTGAGAAAGGCCACCTGAAAACTTCATAATTGCAGTCAGTTCATCCAGATTATTATCCTGCATATACTATTTCTGTCGGAGGCACTCAGACCCCCACATACCAGCGGTGCACCGACAGTAGAAATCCCTTCATCAGCAGCCTCTAGGCTGGGCAGCCTGCGGGTTCACCGGGTAGGCTGGCAGGTGTTTTTCATCTAAATAATTTAAACTGCAGGCACCAGGATACCGGTAATAAAAGCGAACATATTCCGTCGGCAGGTTTCAGGATTTTAAGTTAATTTAGGAGGGATCACAGCGCTGTGTCATCTGCGATGTGTCTGTCTCACGGCCAGCTCCCAGGTTTGATTAATACTTTGTAATAAATACATGAATAAAGCACAGTCATACTCAGTTTTGCCCCCGCTGTATTTTTAAATACGCAGTAGAGGTATTTAAAGGTAGTAGAGGACATGTACCTGTATCTAAAAAACGCGCCCTATAGTCCGGTGCGCCTTATGTGTGTGTTAAATACAGAAATGGGACACATAACTGAGAGTGCGCCTTTTAGTACGGTGCGACTTATGGTCGTGAAAATACGGTATCTCACTCTAACCATCTTAATACAGAGCATAACCTTGCTTCTAAATACTTAACAATCCTATTTTACAAGGAATGGCTGGATGTCCTAGACTGTAAACACCATTTTAAAAAAACAAACCAACAATTTAACATGTCAACCCATCCTTATGGGGACTTGTCATTAACTTCAATTCATTTCCCACTCATGTCTAAGGCCTAACCCTTGTCCTGCACCTAACCATAACCAACACACGCATTACTCTAAACCTAATCAAACTCAACTCACACCTTAGTCCTAAACCTATATATGCCCCCAATTTCTAGAATGATCAGAAAGCACATGATTAATTTTCACTGTTATGCAGATGACAATTAAGCTATACTTGTCCATAAATCCCAATAAACTTACCCATTACATAGTCTACAGTCATGTCTTGAAAAATAAATACCTGAGTGACTCTAAAACGTCTGAATGCAGAAAAAACCCCTAGGAGTTATTGTCTTTTGACCAGAGAAAAAGATACTGATTAGTTAGTCACTTCATCTGGTCAGGATACCCTAGAATTTACCTCTTTTATCTCTGGAAATAGCAAAACTTAGAAATATCCTGTCCAGGGGTGATGCTGAGAATGTCTTCCATGCATTTGTTACTTCAAGGCTGGTCTATTGTATTTTTTCCCAGCTTGTATTGTCATTAAACTGTCACAAGGAGGGTTAGGGGTCGTTGCTCAGGGACTCAGAGTGGCAGTCTTGGGAGTGGGAGTCGAACTCAGAACCTCTGGATTCCGAGCAAAATGCCCTAACCACTAGACCACCCACTTCCCATAGAATGCTAACCTTTGATCCCAGGAACATGATATACTGTAGTTAGAAGCTTTCAGATGATGCACAATGCCACAGCTAGAGTTCTGATGAAACGCAAAAAGAGAGATCATATCTCTCTTATCTTGGGTTTCCTTCAATGGGTACCTGTTAAATCCGCAATAGAATCTAAAATGTCCCTTCTCACATGTAAAGCCCTAAATAATCCACCTGAGGACAGAGATCTGATTCTTCTTTATGTTCCTAACAGAGCACTGTGCTCTCAACCTGCAGGTTTACTTGTGGAGAGATTTGAAGTTATCAGGCTCCTCTCTTTAATAGCCAACTAACAGTTTTTTAGCCCTAATAGGAGACACCCGCTCTACTTTTATGGCTGTGCAGGTTATCCCGAGCTGTCTTTCTAGTTGTAGCACATACTGTAGGGACCCCTTTTCATCAATCTACTTCAATCTACCTCTATTTTTCAATCCTGCAGTGTTTCTTAGCTTAGTCCCTAACTTTTTTCTCCCTGCTTTATGTTGTCCTAGTAGCTTTTTCTGATCTGTTCCTGGTTGGCCGTGACAACAGCCTCTAGAAAAATATCAGCTAGGCTGCTGTCATCAACACTTCCTGTTATATCTAGACGATAAAGTTGAAACCATGTTTTAGTGTTTAGGTGTGTTTCTCCTAGACAGCAATTGCTGTGACTAACTGTATGTGCTAATTTATCCCTTTCAAATGAAAACTGGCTCAGAGCTCATCTGCTTACCTGCTTTCCTTTCCCAGTGGAGGGAAGAGGGTGGCCCATTGCCATTTATACCTCCACCTTTAAAGAAGATGCCCTTCACAACTGATTGTGATTTTATTGAGAGTGACACATTGAGATCAGCAGAGGTTTCAGGGCAGATAAAAATACAGAAAGCTTCTAGCTAGAAAGAATGTTTTTTTTAAATATTTTATGTGTTTAGTGCTGTGTACAGTGGGTACGGAAAGTATTCAGACGCCTTGACACTTTTCAGTCTTTCTTTCATTGCAGACATATACTAAAATAAAAAAGTTCATTAGATTTCTCATTGATGTGCACTCAGCACCCCATCTGACAGAAAGAAACAGAAATGTAGAGATTTTTGCAAAACTGAAAATATCTAAAAACTGATATATCAAATGGTCATAATTATTTAGACCCTTTGCTGTGACACTCATATTTAACTCACATGCTGTCCATTTCTTTTGATCCTCCTTGAGATGGTTCTGCTCCTTCATTGGAGTCCAGTCGTGTTTAAATAAACTGATTAGACTTGATTAGGAAAGGCACACATATAAGACCTAACAGCTCAAAGTGCATGTCAGAGCAAACAAGAATTTTGAGGTCGAGGCAACTGCCCAAGGAGCTTAGAGACAGAATAATGGCAAGGCACAGATCTGGCCAAGGACACAAAAAAAATTCTGCAGCACTCAAAGTTCCTAAGAGCACAGTGGCCTCCATAATCCTTAAATTGAAGAAGTTTGGGACAGCCAGAGGTCTTCCTAGACCTGGCCATCCAGCAAAACTGAGCAATCGTGAGAGAAGAGCCTTGATGAGAGAGGTAAAGAAGAACCCAGAGATCACTGTGACTGAGCTGCAGAGATGCAGTAGGGAGAAAGAAGAAAGCTCCACAAAGT